CAGTCCATAATTTTTAACTCTGGAATGAGTTGGAAGTGCAGATTTCATGCTTTGAACACCTTACCTGAGTTTTTAACCTTCCTTCTTCTTTGTTTTTATTTCTGTCACATTTTGTCATGTTTTGGAGAACTTGAAACACATTATTTTGTGTTCCTTTGGTTTACCTGATACAGGTTTATATATTTGATGGATTTACAATATAGCCCACCTTTTGTTCAGGAACTTAAGCCAGCATATGTAATACTTGTTCTACTCATTTTTCCCCACAATCATCCTATGAGGTAAGTTAGGCTGAGAGAGAGGGCTGGCCCAAGTCATCCTGTAAGCTTCCATGGTTAAAGACAGACGACAACCTGGGTCATCCCAATGCCAATCCAAGAACTTCACCACCTCACTGGACTTGGTGAAAACATAGATCAGAGATCCCTAAGAAACTGTGTACCTGAAGACTAAATTGGAAATAAGAAATCCTGGAAGAAGGCTATAATTGTATGTGGGAATGACCTTGGGAGAATGGCCTAGCGAATGGCCAGATAAGAGAGGGCATAGTCCACAGCTGCATAATGGGTGGGACAAGAGGCTCAGAAGGGACCCTCCCTAGTTTCTCAGGCTATAAAAGAGACAGTGGGAGGATTGTAATTTCAGACTTGCAAGATTCTGTAAATGTAATCTTACAATAAAGTAAAATTAGCTGATCTAGTTGTGTTTTCTATCTGGTCTACCTGGTAAGGCTGCAAGGGCAGTGGAAGGGCATTTCTATACAGGTGTAAAAAAATCTACATACTTATGACAGGAGTCAAGCTGAATTTGACAGAGTCTTTATCTTGACTTTTCTAATAAGGTTATCATGCAGGAATAGATTTTAAATGCATTTTTATGTAAGGTAGTTGAACTTCTGACAGGATCTGAATATCCTAGAGGTTCTACGTTTGGATAAAAAAGTAGGATGCAGCATTGAATATAAACACGTGATAATAAAATAGCCATAATCTTATTGTGGAACACTGCCAGTGATAATTGGTTGCATGTAGGGCTGCGTGTTCAATTTGCACAACATGTTCGAAACAGGCTTCTCAAAGCATATTAACAGCCTCACCCTTTGGAAGGCTCATGCAGCTGCTTCAAAGGCTGTCCCCAGGTATCTGAGCATGCTATACATGTGTAGCCACTTGGCTTCACTGGCAGTCCTAGAGGAGGTCTGATCTCTGCATGGACACAGATGGTCCCACCAGATTTGGGATGCAAAACCTGAATGGCCACTAGAGGGCAGCAAAGAGACATGATAACTAACCCTTTGGTGCCATGTAGTGACCATCTAGAGTTTTGCAACCCAGATCTAATAGCGTACATGCAGACAACTGGGGGAAAGCTTTAAAGCAGCCCTATGAGTTTCCCAGAGGATGTGGCTGTTCTAATGCTTCAAGGAGATTTGCTCTGCTTGCACTAATGCATTTTGAGAAGCACCTCATTCAAATGATTTGCAGAGCTCTAGTTATAAATTAGGTGAGAAGATCTAAGTGCATTGATAATTGATAGTTAATATAGTTGTTGTTGTTATTATTATTATTATTATTATTATTATTAT